AATTCTGCATGCAAAGTCTCAATTTGATGTTTGTCCCATTTTGTGAATTCTTGGTTGGTGAGCGGACCCCAGACCTCACAACCATAAAGGGCAATGGGTTCTATAACTGATTCAAGTATTTTTAACCAGATCCTAATTGGTATGTCAAATTTTATGTTCCTTTGATGACAACCATCTCTGCAGCACTCCACCAATCAGGCCTTTATGGTAGAGTGGCCAGACGGAAGCCACTCCTCAGTAAAAGGCACATGACAGCCTGCATGAGTTTGCCAAAACAAGATTCTCTGGTCTGATGAAACCAAGATTAAACTCTTTGGCCTGAATGCAAAGCATCGCATCTGGAGGAAACCTGGCACCATCCCTACGGTGAAGCATGGTGGTGGCAGCATCATGCTGTGGGGAGGTTTTTAAGTGGCAGGGACTGGGAGACAAGTCAGGATCGAGGGAAAGATTAATGGAGCAAAGTACAGAGAGATCCTTGATGAAAACCTGCTCCAGAGCACTCAGGACCTCAGACTCTTTTTTCTTTGTCATTATGGGGTATTGTGTGATTGATGAGGGAAAAAAAACTATTTATTCCATTGTAGAATAAGGCTGTAACGTAACAAAATGTGGAAAATGTCAAGGGGTCTGAATACTTTCTGAATGCATTGTACATATAAACCCTGGATTGCTGATGCTATGTATTAGCCAGTGAGAGGTTTTGAAGCCACCGGTCGGCCATATTGGCACACCCCAGAAGGAGCAGTCTTCCATAGGAATTAATGGGATTCTACAGTATTTCAAATAAATGTTTCATGGACCAAATTACATGTATACTGAACAACAATATAAACGCAACTTGCAACAATTTCAAAGATTTTACTGAGTTACTGTTCATATAAGGCAATCAGTCAATTTAAATAAATAAATTAGGCCCTAATCTATGGTTTTCACATGACTGGGCAGAGGTGCAGCCATGGGTGGGCCTTAGAGGGCATAGGCCCACCCACTTGGCAGCCAGGCCCAGCCAATCAGAATGAGTTTTTCCCCACAAAAGGGTTTTATTAAAGACAGAAATACTCCTCAGCAGCCCTCCCAACCCCCCCAGACGATCCCGCAGGTGAAGAAGCCGTATGTGGAGGTCCTGGGCTGGTGTGGTTACAAGTGGTCTGCAGTTGTAAGGCAGGTTGGACGTACTGTCAAATTCTCTAAAACAACGTTGGAGGCGGCTTATGGTAGAGAAATGTACATTCAATTCTCTAGTAACAGCTCTGGACATTCCTGCGGTCAGCATGCCAATTGCGCTCTCCCTCAAACCTTGAGACATCCGTGGCATTGTGTGGTGTGACAAAACAGCTCATTTTAAAGTGGCCTTTTATTGTCCCCAGCACAAGGTGCACCTGTGTAATGATCATGCTGTTTAATCAGTTTCTTGATATGCCACACCTGTCAGGTGGATGGATTATCTTGGCAAAGGAGAAATGCTCACTAACAGGGATGTAAACAAATTCGTGCACAACATTTGAGAGAAATAAGCTTTTTGTACATATGGAACATTTCTGGGATTTTCTATTTCAGCTCATGAAACATGGGACATGTTGCGTTTATATTTTTGGTGAGTGTATGTTTTTTTGTGTGTTTTTTTTGTAGTGTACAGTCACATTAGATCTTTCAAAAAAGTATACTTTAATCAAATAAAATACAATTTTATTTGTCACATACAACAGGTGTAGACCTTACAGTGAAATGCGTACTTACAAGCCCTTTAAGGAAAATGTTTTTATGTTTAGCTCATATAATATATTTTAAAAGTTTGCATTAATGTCTGTAATAGAATAAATGTAGCAAAAACAAATCTAGACATTAATAAATGCAATTCTATAGCTTCCAAAATATTTTTTACAATGGTGAGATGGAGGCACTGTAGCTTCAAAACAGTGCCCCCTGTCAGTCAACTAGTGTATATATGAATCATTGGATTGAATTGGCAGTATATGGAGCAGGAGCTGGCTGCTTAGACCACTGCGCCATCTGTCCACAATGAGTTAGCAAGGCCAGTCTTAATTAATGGCTAAACTTTACCGTAGAGTTGTTTTTCTGTTTTAACCCTATCCCAAACCTTCATCCTTAACTTAACCAATCAGAATAAATGCCTGAACTGTTAACCAATCGGAAATGAATGCCTGAACTTAACCTTAAAGTTGTTTCTGTTTTAACCCTATCCCAAACCTTAACCCTTACAGATGCACTCCGTGATATTAAGCACATCAAATCCGTAACATCACACGAATTTCCAAATTCATAGCATATCACACGAAATGGATGACGTGGTACACAGTTGGATAACGTAGTACACAAAAACGGGGACCACTGTTGGCTCATGAGCACCACTTTCAAAACTACTGGCTGAAATTATCCAAAGGTTTGAGAGTGCGTGCCTTAACTTAACCACAGAGTTGTTTCTGTGAGCCTAAATCGTTTGCAGCTCATGCGGGAGCTGTGTGCATAAATACAGGACGTCGAGAGAGGAAGTCAGTTTACTAGTAAAAAATAAACGTTTATCCAAGGACATCAAGACATTATCTTGTTGTTAGTAGAGCTGCAATATAAAAACTTTTCATGAATAAATTTCAGTTCGCTGTGGGATTAAAAATAATAAATGCCAGGGCATTCTTAAATGCTCCACAAACAATTTAATGGATCTCTTTAAAGAGAGCAGTCGTGAGATGAACGAATACAGACTGCACATTGACACACAGGAGACATTCGACAACTCTCAATGAGTAATGCCAAGTCTAGGCAAGATAAATGTACCACAGTGAACATTTTGCCAGCCTGACAAGACCTAAAAAACAATGACGTGTATGACATTTCAGACTGGGAAACAGCTAAACTTTTCTCTAGTCTCAGGGCAGCCTAGTCTAATGCACATCATGTGTTTGATGGAGCAGGCCTGGGTTCAAATAGTATTTCAAATCTTCCAAATATGTTGAGCATTTGTTTGACCCTGCCAGGAGTGTCAGGTAGGCGGGGTTCATACTTTTTAGATCATTCCATTGGTTCAATTGCTACAAGCAAATCCTATATGAACCCAGGTCTGTGATGGAGTGCAGTGTTGACTGACTCATGACTTCATTACACACCACCCCTACTCCACCTCGGGAGAGAGAGCCCTTATCAGATCAAATGGTTCAATGGCCACCCCATCTACAGGCCTGACAGGAATGGCTTTGTTCACCCAGTGGTGGGTGTGAGGGTGGGGTTGGGGGTGGGAGTGAGGAGGGTGGGGGTGAGTGGGGACAGGGGCCTCAACACCTCAGCCCTGTTCTGGGGTTACACCACCAAAGGAAGAAAAGACATCCCGGAAAACAGCTCATCAATATCCAGAGAAATTATATTGTAATGCAGATTAATGTGTCTATTACAGTTATACGTGTGTGTGTGTGTGTGTGTGTGTGTGTGTGTGTGTGTGTGTGTGTGTGTGTGTGTGTGTGTGTGTGTGTGTGTGCTAACTAAGGGCTGGGCTTCAGAGTTCTCAGGATTAATTTTGCAGCCATGCAGGTAAGGTTGTCAAACACTTAGGCAGGTAGAGACAGGCGGTTCGGCCCGCCCTGGGCATTGAACACCTAGCTATTAGTCAGTGTTATCGACACTCCTACATTCCTACTGCCTGCCCTCTCCAAGTTCGACTACACTACATAGACAGTCACAGATATCACTAAATGTGCACTTAACACTACTACAAAGGCTTTGGTGACCTTGGTAACAGTTTTTGTAGGGAAAACAAAGGAAATTGCAAATCATGACGTGTACCTTTCCCTGCCCTTATTAAGAGCCAAGGATCAGAAGGGAAAAAACCTTTCCTAAAGCTTATCAATCCAAAGTACATCTAACTTTTTCAGGTTTGATAAGTGGTTTATTCACAGAGAAAGTATGCATAACAAACTAAGACGTGCTTCTCTACAGGTTTTTGTTTTCAATCTGAACTTCACTAAATTTGAATGAACCTATTAAACTTTAATATTTCATTCTGCACTTGTAGATTATGGAGATCTAAGTGGTGGATTTTGCTTAGTGATGTAAATATGATGTAATAATTCACTCTCATCAACCATAACACTATAACATGTGTTGTGTCATGCGATGCATTTGGAGCAAACCTGTCAGATAAAGGTTTTCAAGTTCACCATTGTGCAACGTGTCATCTGCTAATGCCTTTATGAAAAGAACAAAGCTTAATTCAGATGTTAACTAAACTGCAAGGGGTATACAGCAAACATAAATATTTTCAACACATGGACAAATCACTCTAGCTCATTGCTGCTTTTCTCATTCAGCTTCGATGAGTAACTTCTCAAATGCACACCGGATCCCACACTGTCAACGTTGAAAGAGCAGCACTAGGCTATCTAAACACAGTGCTTAAGATGTCGCTCTCTCAGTTCACCATCATTACAGTGTGTAAGCCCTCCTAATTTAGCCCTGGTTGGCTGCCAAAAGCATCTCCATGGCCTGTCACCACCCCTGTCCCTACGAGGCCAGCGGCATTAGCTAAGGCATGCATTACCAACCACACTGGCTCGGTCTCTGGGAAACAGAGATTCTGGAGCAGACTGTATAGTACTTTACCAACCACCCATACTGTTACTCATCAAACAGCTAATGTTAACTTTAAGCCCCATAAACGGACAAGGCAAACTCATATGAGAGAACAGGCAAGAGAGAACAGGCAAGACCCTCATCTCTCTAGGTAGAAGTCTTGATGCAAAACGTTTTTAGTGGTTACTGTTCCATAGCCAATAAGAACACAAATGCATTCGAAACGGAATGCATGGTGGGAAAAGTAAATTAACAAAACACAAAAGCTAAAAGAGGAATGGTTTCTAACCTCTGGGGCCCGAAGCCTTGAAATGCCACCTCAAACAAAAGTTCCCTTTCCATGTGTTTTCAATTTGCCCTTTTTCCTAAGAGCAGCATACCCCTGTTCTTGTTGAACTATAAAATTGAACTTTTTCACAGAGTGGTTGAGGATGGCTGTACAGAACTAGGGGCAGTAAGTGCTGGGGAATATATTCGATCTTGCAGGGAATCTTACCTTGACCTTTGCTGCAGTCGATGCCTGCCAGAGTCTCTATGGCAACCGACTGAGGCTTTTTACTCCCAGCCAGGGGATATTTGCCAGTCTGAGTCTCTTTGCTCAGGGGTTGGGGCTGGAGTTCACATTTACCATTGGACGGCTGTTGCTGCTCCTTCCTCCTAAAGCGGCTGGCTATGAGCTGCCACACGCTGGGCTCCTCATGGGCTGGTTTAGTGGAGGAGGACAGTTTGGCTGGGTAGAGTGGCACCTCCATCACCTTGACCTTGCCCTGGCTGTGGTACTGAATGTTCTGCATCCCTCCATCATTGTCCTTCTCGTAAGCGGGCGGCAGGCTCCTCCCGGTGAGGTAGGAGAAGGGACGCGAGGGGAGAGATGTCTCCTGCCCGATACTTTTGGTCCGTGAGCGTTCCTCTGCTGTCACTTCAGATATTTCCACTCTCTCCCGCGGCCGGTTCCTCCTGATCCGCATACTGAGACTCCGGCGTAAGGAGCTCAGGGTCTTCTTGGGGACGTCCGGCCTGCTGGGGGGCTTGGAGCCTGGGGCTCGGGCTCCCTCCTGCTCCTTATCCTTGTCCTGGTCTGGTCGGCCAAACATCCTCCAGCGGCCGAACAGACCTCCCCCCTGGCTTCCCTTATGGCTGTCCAGCTCGTCTTGGGACCCAGAGGCCTTCTTCCTCAGCTCCAACATTGTCATACTGACCGGTCTCTGTTTCCAGGTCTGCTGCCGGACCCTGGGGAAATCCTTCTCCTCAGCCACCGTCCGTTGAGGGAGGATCCCTGGCTTGAGGCCGTCCACCGCCCGCAGCTCTGCCCTTCTGGTCCAGCACTGCTGGGGGGGACCGTCCAGTGACCCTGTAGCCCCCCTTCTGGAGGTCTGTTGGGAGTGGGACCTGTGGGACCCGGGCTGCAACAGGGCAGGGTTGAGGTTGGGGCCTCCCAGCATGCACACACTCCTGGGCCTCCTGGATTTGTCTGTTCTGTCCTGGTCACTTAGCGAGCCTCGTTGCTGTCTGGCTGGGGCGCCATACATGCTCACCACACTCCTGCTGTGTGGCGCAGGACTGTCCTGGGATGGCCTCCTGCGGAGCACAGCCCGGGGTAGACAGCAACCACCAGCCAGAACACCACCATGATGCCCAGGGAGAGGCCCTTCGGACTGGGGAGAAAAGTCCTGTCCCTGGGTCTCTACCTGGGTCTTCTGTTGTTCTGGAGCTGCTGTGGCTGCATCTACCTCTACTCCTACCGCTGCAGTCTCACCATCTGTCTGAGAAGGTTGGGCTGCTGCTGGAGCTGCTGAGTTACTGGAGAGCTGTTGGAGTTGGAGAAACCGGTTCGTCGTCATTTTTCTTCCCCCCTCCTTTTCTACCTCCTCCTCCTCCTCCTGCACTGCCTCCTCCCTCCTCCTCTCCACTCTGCCTGTGCGGCTCAGGGAGGGCCACCTGCCAAGATCCTGCTGTGTCCTGCCCAGGCTGAAGCGTCCCTCCTCCCCCTGCAGCGCCTGTGGTCGTGCCCTAGTGCTCCCGGCTGCAGGATGACTCTGCTCCAGGGCGGTGTATCGGGCGGCCAGGCCCGCCACCACCTTCGAACCCACCTCCTCACGGCCCAGAGTTCCGTTCAGGATGACAGAAATGTGGTCCACCGTGGTCTTACCTCCTCCTGACTGGTGGGCTGTTACAGCTTTACTTGTGGCCCCGGGGATAGTCCGCTCCGTTGCCTGACTGCTCAGTAGTAGCATGGCACTGCCCTGCACTCCCCCATACACACAGGCATGCACAATCTAGCCTAATTTACACACACACGCACACACACACTCCCCGGTGTTGTGGTGTTTAGTTGCTCTCAGAGTCCCTCACTTCCAGGCTGCATTCCAACCCCAGGCATAATCCTTAACCTTTGACATGAAAAAAAAAAAGTCAAACAAGCCTGAGCAAAGCTTCTGTGCCACTTCCATAACTCTAGAGCTTTATCCTCAGCATTCAGCAGCAGCTCTGCAAAAGGCTGCAGGACGGTGGCTCGCTGGCTGCACTCTCTCCTCATTTCTACTTTGTTCTACTTTTACCTGTCCGACGTGAGGGTGAGCAACAGCTAAAACAGCCTTTCCAGTGTTTGCTTTGGAACAACCAAATGCATGTGTGTCATACCTGCGAGGCCTTGAGCAACATTTGAAAAACTGAGACATCCTCTCCTTCTTGGCAAGTTGTGAGCAATCCTTTTTCTGCCGGCGGTGCAGGCAGAACTCTTAATCTCTGAGCCCTTGCCTGCCATACGTAGTGTGTGTGTCTGTTTTAACTTTCCAACAGCCTTCCTACCCCTGGGACAGTTGGAAAACAAGGACCGGATCCAAACAGGTCCGTCACTCGGCATTAAAGCACACTAACTCCCTGAGCTGAGTTCCTCCTCGGGATCTCTAGAGGGATTTCAGACCCCACAGAGTAAAATGGACGACAGTGAGTGAACAGTAAGAATAGGATCCAGGGAAGAGGGAGCTGAGCATCCACTGCTGCAGTCAACAAAGACAGGATCCCCAAAACAAACTGCTATGAAAGAGAACTTTGTGTCCCCAGGGCCTCTCCCTCCCTCCCTCTCAGTCTCTCCCTTTCTGCCCCTCTCTACCTTCCCCTGTCTCTCTCTCTCTCTCTCTCCCAGTCTCCCTTTCCATCAAGTTCTTTCTACAACCAAACAAACAGGGAGAGGGGACACAAAAAGGCATAGATTTTCCCATGGCTCACAAGAGAAGGAGGAGAAACAGGGAGCGGAAGTACCAGTGAATTCCTGGCACCAAACTTCCATATAGCCAGGTTTTAGACGTTACTTAAAGCACTGCTAATCCTAGTGTCAGCCAAAGGCAGACCACATGGGTTGCACACAGGTGGGTCGGATAGCTTTAAAGGGTAAGATTGGACAAATATGTTCTGTAGCTCTCACTGTAAAAACAAACTAGGAAAGCTCAAGGCAGAGAGTAGCCTAATTGTGTGAAAGTAAGATTAATCGCAATCACTGCTATAGTCAGTGACCTAACCTGACAGCAACAATGTGCTACGGTTAGTGTGTTTCAAATCCAGTGTTTACATACACACGCACTGACAAAAGGACACACACATGCTTACGCACACACACAGACGTACATACATACACAGCATGTCAGAGAGCTTAAGAATTCTAGGAATGAACAGACTTTCATTTATGGCAGGGGGCATTTTATTTTTACAGTTTGGTTAATTACTGAAAGACTTCGTTGTTATACAAAACTCACCACTAACTAACTAATAATAATCACAAATCTGGTTTTGGGGCCATCTCAAAGGAAGTAAATTAACCTTTTGAGAGGAACAATTAATAGCTCATAAGTCATTGTTAGGAACAGATTGGTTGCAATAAACTGATGCGTATTCAGCTTGTTATTTTAATGTCATTTCAGGCTCTAAAAGGCATTTCACTGGTTAATTCGCCACATTCCAGCTCGCCATTCTGCTTTGGCAGAGCTTTGGTGTTCAATTAGGCATTGGTCAATCAAATGGGAACCAGTCAATAACGGCACAGCACAAAGCTGACCAACTGGGTCAAGCTTAATTCCATATTCTTATCTCCATGGGACACTGAGGCAATTGATGGTGCAGTCAAAAGCAGTGCCCATGTGGTTATAGAGAGAAACATACTGTTCAGGGCCACTAAAAAATAGCCTCACTTTAGATGAAACCCCTTATAAGTAGGCTATAACTGCAAAATAAAGTACATGATTTTGGAACACTCCTTGAACATTCTTCTAAAAATCCATACATGACACCAAATCACTGAACAATATATTATGGTAACTCTTTAGTTGCTTTTATCCCTTTGTAGTTACACTGCAATTACACTAGTAACAACATTATATGAACATGTTGTTACATAATACTATAGTAATTAGTCATCAGAGCACATGTAGAGAACCAGGGTTGTATGAGGCCATGATTCAGACAGGACATCTGTACAGATTATATCTGACTGACCGACGCAAAGCAGGACCCAGACATCATGTGTCAACTGGATCATACAAAGGAAAACATCCAACTGTGCTCTATACAGAAATAAATGAGGCCCTTGAAAGATTCAGACACGTTCTCAAACTGGCACACTACTGTATAGATTTTCAAAAAGGTGACTTTATAGCTAACATGGAAAATCTATTTCTCCATCTAGATGTTAGCAAGTGTCGTTTTTGCTTAACATGAGTAGATACTGAGTATGAGAATGAGTCTGGTGGAAGTGGTGGATGTTCTCACACTCATACAGTAAAATGGCCACTGTAATGCCATTGTCTAGTACAGTTTATTGTTATGTGTTGAAGGCTAATCCTTCAAGACCTCCCAAGCATATTTCCAGGAAGTCTGGGGTGTGGATACTGTCTTTTAAACAGGCTTCTCAAATACGAAAAAAGCCAAGGTTTTCTGATTTGGCAAAAATATCCTCACAAAAGCACATAGTAAATGTTTAAAAAAATGGTCAGCAACAAACTTTATGAAAACACTGCTCAAATACTAGCTAGCAAATAGATTCATACTCCAGATAAGAACTGCTTTGAGAGCTTGCTGCTTCAACTCAGCTGTTAGTCATATTGATCTACTGACCTGCTGCTGCGCAGTGTGTAGTGTACAGGTTTCTGTTACCTGTGTCCAGGCAGCCAGGGTTGGAAATAACTTGAGGCTCATTAGCTAGTAGACAGTTCTCTTCGCTCCAGTGGATGTGGCGGTGCCTGTTCCGTCTGCGGTCCCCAAAACACAGCCTCATGGTCCCAGTCTTTCAAGGGGCACAACTTGACTTACTTGTCTTATTCCTTTAGCTCCTAGTGGAGCAAAGGGCCCACAAGCCACAACCTAGCCATACAAATCCACCTTCCAACCCTCATGCTTCAAAATGACTGACAGGCCAGCTCATGTTTTTTTTCCTCTCCTCTTTTCTTTAATATTCTATCTCTTTCCTCTCAGGTTTGTATTTCGTATTTCAACTTCCACTGGAGACAAACTCAGGATCCAAAAGATGGTATTTGCCCTGGTCCTGCGTATGATGGAGACTTAGTGGCAGACTTCCCAGGAGACTTAGTGGCAGACAGCTCTGAAGTGTTGTGGCTGTGCTGAGTTGTATCCTAACACACTGACCTGGTCAGGAAGACAACAACCATGCGTCAGGTGATGGAACTCAGAGCAATTTTCTCCTCCTGTTAATCCGCTGAGCTGAGGAGGAGGGGTCTATAGGGCCTATACCTAAAACACCACTCTGATTGGATTATTAGGCTAATCCTTAGCCCCATGGCCAGAATGGACATCTATTAATAAACTCTGGTCAGCCATAGGATCTCTCAGTCTCAGTCCATTCCCTCATGGCTGGGGTAACAGAGGAAAAGCTGTGTTGTGTGTTTCTCTCTCCTCTCTCTCTGTAGACAGGTGCTGCTACACACGTCCGGTGGCCCCAGTCCTGTAACTCTATCTAAATGGTGGTTGGGGGAAGGATTTCTGAAAAACTGGCTTGACTGGCCATGTCTGGGGGTTTTCAATGAGAGTCAGTGTGTGTGTGTGTGTTAATGTCTAATGTCTGTGTTATCTCATCTGTCCTAGTCACTAACCACGTTTCCATCCAACCATTTCATGCGGATGAATTATCTGACGCATGAAAAAAAGTCACGTCCGGGCTGATGGAAACATGAAATGCCGGTACAATTTTATAAATGGCAACAAACAATTTGTTCGACATGGTGGGATATCTGTAAAATTAATTATGCAGGAAATGGCAGTGGAAGCGCCTTTATGTGCAAATATTGATATAATAACCATCATATCGAAGTAAACTTGGAGTTACATGATGATACGTTGTGTGGTCCTCCCACTACAACACGGGAAAGCATGCAGTTTATTAAGCTACAGATTAAATACATTATGATGAACTTCACAGGGTGGTGAATCTGCAAGGTGATGAGCTTGATGCTCCTTTCCAATAAATATTGAGGGTCTTATTCTGGTGACATGATGCTTGGCTGCCGTTTGACAAATACTAATTACATCGCTGTTATCCATAATAATCTCATAATGTAGGTAGCCTACCTGCACTGTATCTGAGAGGTGTTGGTTAAAGCGCATGTGCCAAGACCAGAGTGGGCACATTTGCTATATAACGCAACCATTTTTGTGATAAAACCATCAGTAGAGTTGAAAATGCGATGGAAACCCACTTAACTTGTATTTTTCATTCGGTACATGGGAATTTAGTGGCAGAAGTTATTTTTATCTGCACTACATCATCACGCACAGCCTTTTATCCGCAAAAAGTTTGTTTGATGGAAACACATCTCTGGTGGAAAATGTGCATATTGTTTTATCGCAAATTGGATGGAAACCTAGCTATTATGATGTATACAGTGTATAATAGCTCAGACACACCGGTAGGTACGTCAAACGTTTGCCTGCCGACAGTGCTTAGCACCTCTAAACAGAGTGTTGGCAGTCAATCAGTCGTTAGCCACTCAGCCTTGTTAAAATATTCCAAATCAGAAGGTGGCAGTAGCATTGTTTGGCAATGCATGTCCGTTTGTGTTGCTTTATGGTCTAGTCAATGTTAGCTAGCTAGCTAGCTGCACGAATGTTGCCATTGCTGTAGAAAGTAGAGGTGTGCCAAGTAGTCAGACAAAACGAGTATCGTAACGGATATGGGCAGTTTACGGGATGCGATTATGATCAGAGTATTTTTTGCAATTATCAGTGATCG